TAGCCATGACATCGCTAAGGAAGTTAACATTGATCATCAAACGGTTTTAAACCATTTAAAAAATGCTGACTACAAAAAGAAGCTCGATGTTTGGGTACCACGTGAATTGTCTGCGAAAAATTTAATGAACCGAATTAACATCTGCGATTCTTTACTGAAACGAAATGAAATCAAATCATTTCTGAAGCGAATGGTAACAGGAGGCGAGAAGTGTATCAAATACGACAATAATGTGCGGAAAAGATCATGGTCCAAGCGTGGTGAAGCTTAACAAATGGTCGCAAAGCTAGGATGGACGCTTCGAAAGGTTATGCTGAGTGTTTGGTGGAATTGAAAAGTAATCATACATTATGAGCTGTTCCAGCCTGGTCGAACGATTGATTTTACATTTTACTGTCACCAACTGATGACATTGAATCAAGCAGTCGAAAAAAAACGGTCAGAACTGATCAACAGAAAGTGTTTCGTCTTCTATCAGGACAACTCTAGATCACATACATTTTTGATGACTCGCCAAGAACTGCGAGCATTTGGCTGAGAAATTTTGATACATTTAACATATAGTCTTCGGTCTACCATTTGCTTCAGTCAATGCAGAACTTTCTTAAGGGAGTAAAGTTGGCTCAAGAGAAGCCTGTGAAAATGACTTGTCGCAGTTTTTCGTCGAGAAACCAGAAAAGTTTTACACTGGTGGAATAATGTCTCTAGGAGAAAAATGGCAAAAAGTGGTCGACCAAAATGATACACATTTGATTCAGTAAATATCATTATCATATAAAAATACATAATTTGAAGTTTGTTTCGAAATACGAAAATACGTTTTTTATATACAAGATAGGGTATGTTTGATTGAGTTTCTTCACAAAAACATCTTGTACGCATAGTTTTTTTTCCACTGTTTTTTTTTCTGAAAAAATATTTATTTTTGTATTCTTAATTATTTCCGTATTTCAAGCATAGTAACACATATTTCTGTGTTGAATTAAATTTTTATCATTTTGTAACTCGTACATATAATATGTATGTATATAAAGATGTAAGTTATATACATATATGTAAGTATGTATGCACGAATAAATACTCACAGCCGTACAATCTACATTCGTCATGCTTGAACATAGACATATGTACGTACATAAATACTTGTACATACATTTCCAATTTAATTAATTTCATATTCTTGATGCACTTCAATTAGTTAGACAAGAATTCTCACATTCAACAATAGAATAGAATTGTTGAGTTGTAACGTTTGTGTTTATATATATTTTTTTTTTTTGTTTTTTATTATTTGATTTTTCATTATGGAATTAGTTACAACATGAAGTCATGTTTTCAATAATACACACAGGTTTTTTAACAAAGGGGCTGTTGGAAGCACTGAAACAACATTGCTTTTGTTGTTGTTCTTACTAGAAAACGCTATCTCAACTTATTGACAATATATACAAACAAACATAGTACGTATGTACATATATTAGTCACTATAAAACTGCTCATTATGAATATTCATTCGTCGAATTACGTGCGCAGATTACTCAGCAATAATTACAATGTTGTGGGAAAAAAGATAACTCATTTATTTAATTTTAATTATTTTTATTTTCTGGAACACTATTTTTGAGAGCAGGCACATTTGCGCAATTATCTCAGATTTTTCACTAGGAAAATCCTGGAATTTATTTAATATTCATTTTTCGATTATACGAGCACGTTCCGATAAGTCTAGAAAACGTCACAAAATGTTTGCAAAAATTACTATTTACATATTGTGTAGTCGAAAAAGTCTTCTCATTTCTGATGAAACTTCAACTTATTTTTTTATAATTATAATAATAAATAAATGAACGTCTGTACCATTTTGGTCGATCATTTTTTGCCATTTCCGCTAGAGACATTGCTACATCAGTGTAAAACTTTTCTGGTTTCTCGGCAAAAAACTGCAACAAATAATTTTCATAGGCTTCTCTTGAAGCCTACTTTACTCCATTAAGAGAGCTCTGCATTGGCCGCAACAAATGGTAGACCGATGGTGCAAGGTCAGGGCTATATATTGGATGTATAAAAACTTCTCAGCCAAGCTCCCCTAGTTTTTGCCGAGTCATCAAATATGTGTGGTCTAGCGTTGTGCTGATGGAAGACGAAGCCCTTTCTCTTGATCATTTTTGGTCATTTTGTTTCGATTGCTTGCTTCAAGCTCATCAGTTGGTGACAGTAAAATGCAAAATCAATCGTTCGACCAGGCTGGAGCAGCTCATAGTGTATGATTACTTTTCAATTCCACCAAACACTCAGCATAACCTTTCGAAGCGTCAATCCTAGCTTTGCAACCATTCGATTTCAGAAATGATTCGATTTCATTTCGTTTCAGTAAAGAATCGCAGATGTTAATTCGGTTCATTAAATTTTTTACAGACAATTCATGTGATGTCCAAACATCGAGCTTCTTTTTGTAGTCAGCATTTTTTAAATGGTTTAAAACCGTTTGATGATCAATGTTAACTTCCTTAGCGATGTCATGGCTGCTTATTTGACGGACCTGGTCAATCTTCTCCATAATTTCATCGGCTTTTTTATAGATAGGTCGACCAGAGCAAGGTGCATGTTTCTCATCGAAATTACAAGAACGAGGGGAGCGAACCATTGTTATGCGACATGAACTGACACAACGTCGTATCCGCAAACTTCACAAATTTCATGGGTGGCTTGTGTGGCATTCTTCCGTTTTTTATGCACAAATTTCCAAATATAGCGATTTTCTTCGTTATTTTTTCAATAATTTTTGAACAGCTGTAACGTTTCTTGTTTTTGGTTAAATGAGGCTTAAAACTTCCCCTTTCCAGCACTATGTGGTATGCAACAACATCTATTGATAAAATACAGTACCCAGTATAACTCGTTCGAAAAATAAGTTTTCTAATTAGACGCAAATTTCCGCCCGACAAGAGGTTTTTTCCAAGTTAGGCAACAAAAAGTGCTAGTCTGAAGAATACGGTGGATAGGGCGGCAATTCGCAGCTTATTTCGACCGATTTGACCGTGGCAATTGCGTAGTTATGAGCCAGTGCTTTGTCATGTTTTCGCAACTCGATAGCTAAACAAACCAATAATTCCGCACAACGGAGCCCTGTAAGCAATTTGCTCACCTCCTAATAGTCAGTAAAATCTAAGTAATTTCAGAAAATAGTGACTTTTCCCGCCGATAGGACGGTTAAGTCGCTCACTTCGACTGTATCTTAAACGTTCGCTTCTGAGATAGCCGTTTTTGGGCACCTGAGTGTGACTTTTCCGGTCGGTAGGACTGCCTTTTACTTCTTCGAACAGGTTCGCCGGGTTATGTCGATTACTTTGAGTGTTGCTTGGTCGCTGATCCTCCACACCCTCCACATCTTTTGAGATTATTGTCTCAACTATCTCGCAAAGCATCACCTGGGCGTGACCTTTTCTACCGATAACACTGTCTTCTCTTATTTCGGGCAGTTTTGACGGACTAAGTCGATTGCTTCTGCTGTTAGTTGGTCTCTGATGTATAGTAGTATACCATGTTTCATCGACGGTCATGAAACAACAAAGAAAATTGTACGGATCACGTGGCTGCGCTTGTTATTGTCCGGAATGAGTAAACGCGACACACACCACATCTTTTGAGATGTGTGTCTCAATTATCACCCACAAATTCAATCGGCAGTCGCGCAATACGAGATCGTGGACTTTTATCACTCTATCCACCGTGGTAGCTTTATTACAGGGCTCGTGGGCTTGGTACAGCATTTTAGCTGGAATTTCGGCTGTACTATAGCTGAATGTTGTTTTGGAGGCATTCCTGGTTGATTAGTGCAAAACTTTGACTTAACATACCCATAACTTAGACTCGTTAAATCGTAACATCTTGGCAGCCATTTGATTGGATAATTTTTCGAAATTAACGAGTCGTCAAGCTTTGCACGCATTGTGTTCATGTTTGGACGTAAAACATTAGTCAGCACACCGTCTTGCTGGAATTTGAGATCGTCAGCGTCGATTTCATCGAATTCTGCGAAAAAATTCGGTCGAGATCTTGTTACAATGCTTGGTTTTGCTGGCATTTCCTGCTTTCGGAAGAAATAAAGCTAGATTATGCCTCCATACCACAAACCGCACTAAACGATATATTTTGGGGATGCAATTGAGAGTATTGAGCCACACAAGGATTTGGCTCTCCTCAATAGCGAAAGGTTTTTTTTTTTTGTTGACGGAGCCAATAACCCAGAGTGGTCATGGCCAATTGAATTGGAATTGGTCTGAACTGAGAAGATAACCTTTCTACGGGCATTCCTTCAACTTTTTTCGAAAACGTCAATTGCGTAATACTCAATTCCGAGCATTGTACCACAAATCTGTAAACAAACAGGACCATCAGGAGCTGTCAAAAACGCGTCATCCTTATTGATAGACGCGTTATATTCAATATTTTCACCTTCGAGAAACAAGCGTACCAACCACCGAATTGCGCTTTTTCCATCTCTCAAAAATTTGCAGACAAGCCCGTTTGCGCACGCGAACACAAGAAAACTGCGAATCCGTTTCGTCTAAAATTTTGACAGCCGTAGCCGTCCACAAGACAGGAAATTTCTTTTTTGTTAGTGACGCCATCAGACGGTGCGGATGAGTAATTAACGGAACTCCCTAATATGTATGTAAAAATCAATTTTTGTAGTTTTTTTTTAAGTATATGTACGTATGTCTGTATGTATGTATGTATGTGCCACTTTAATAGCATTTAAGAAATGCTCGAACAATTAAGTCAGCCGCTAACGACTCTTTCGCGGTCACCCCAAAGTCTTCGCTAATTACAACGTTACAGATGTATGTATGTATGTACGAATGTACAAATGTATTTGCAATGAGCACACAGCCGGCCGTCATTAATTCACAAGTGCCAATGGTCAAGCCGACAATGTAACAAATAAGTCACCTCTATTTATTTTTCGTATTTCGAAACTAACAAAACCACTAGCTCACCAAAAGAAATACTAACTGGAGAATCGGCACACAGTTCCAAACGCCTACAGCAACAAAATTCAACTGTTCTATAAGATGGCCAACGAGAAGGCTGGAAGCTACGATTTCTAGTGCTACAATGTGCTTATACTACACACATATATACATACATACATACATACATACATGCAGGCAAATGTACTAGCAAACGCACAAAAAATCAAATACATTTATTGTATATATGTACATATTATGTATATTTACAAGAAAGTGTGTGTGTGTCATATAAACATACATGTATATATGTATATATACAACACATAAAGTCAGCGTATAAAAAATATAAATAAATACATAGTATATGCAAATAAAATGTATCACGTTTATGCGGAAAATGACGAAACGCAAAATTTTTTTGTTTACATTTTTTTCATTAAGGGAAAATTAAGTTAAATGCCGCAAGCGTGATTTTGTTTACATTATGTATGTATGTCAGTACTCTTATATTACATGTATGTATGGATGTATGTATGTCAGTACTCTTATATTACATGTATGTATGGATGTATGTATGTATTCTACATAAGCAAGTTGAATCAATGTCACCATCATTAGAATTAAGCACATAGATTGAGACAAAAAATCAACCGGAAATTAAATTCTTCGGGTAAATGATATTTTGAAAAAATGTATTTTGCTAAGTTGGTAGGACTGTCTATAATTCTTCTACTTCTTTACTGACGTCGACATCGCCTACGAGATTATTGCCGAGTTCACAACAGCGCGCCAGACGAAGCCAGGTCCTTCTCCACCTGGTATTCCCAACGGATTGGAGGTCTGCCGCTTCCCCCGGCGGGTACTGCGTCGAATACTCTCAGAGTGGTAGTGTTTTCATCCATGTATCAATGTCGTCGTATATCTCGTACAGCTCATCGCTCCATCGAATGCGATATTCGCCGCTGCCAATGCGCAAGGGACTATAAATCTTTAGCAGAACCTTTCTCTCGAAAAATTGTAACGTCGACTCAATCGATGGTGTCATCGTCCATGCCATGTTTGGTCTTTGCTCGTCGAGAGAGGACTTTACTTCTACCGATTTCAAAGCTGACATTGTTGATGAATTAATGCTGGTTCCAAGATAAACGAAATTATCTACGACTTCGAAGTTATGACTACCTTTAGTGACGTAAAGAGATCCCTTTGGACATTCTTGATCGTGCGAGTTCCGATACTTCATTCATGGGGTTTGACATGCAAACAGGTCAACAATCATCGGAATAGAGGGGAAAAAACGAGCCGAAACCAAAAACCATGCCAAAATCGCTCAAAAATGAAAGTGATGCTCATTGATTTTCTCGATGTTGATGGTTTGGTGCATCAGACATTTTTTTTAGGAGGGACAAGGGGCCAATAAGGTGATCTATTTAACCGTTTGCGTGAAAACATCCGTCGAAAACGGCCGAAATTTGGAAGAACAATTCAAAGATTATATACGATGATAATGCACCATCGCATCGAGCCACCGTTGTGGCCGATTTTTAAGCAAAAAAGCAATGAATACTATCAATCATTCACCGTATTCGCCAGATTTGGCTCCATGGAACACGTTTTCATTCCATCGAGAAGATAAAACCAAAGCCAAAAAATGGAAAGTGTTTCGAAGAATGGAAGATTTGTTGCCATAAGTGTATTATATCTGTTGGGATTACTTTGAAGGCGACAAAATAAATATTGTAGAATAATTAAATAGTTTACGTTTTATTTACGATTTCCAGGTACTTTTTTGTAACAAAACACGTATATACACACATGATAATATACATACATGTGTAAACACATATAATAGCATTACGCCACCCACTAGCGGTAATTTCGTTGCGTGACAAACGCAAATACTTGGTATGAAAAGTGAAAACGCCACACAAGCTACGTAGCGATCATTTCCAACCCGATTAAGGGGCGCACCTAATACGGCAGCCCAAAAAAGATGACTTTTAAGTATACTAACAAAAAAAAGTAGTTCATCATTTTTTTTGTTTTTTTTTTCAGTTTATAGACGAGTGCAGATGCCTCCGACAATAGTAAAAATTAAGAAAAAATTCTTATTAGATTGGTCATTTGAATTTTTCGCATAAATTTCGAGGTTATGTGAAAAGGTTTTCAATACAAACGTTGCTGATCTTTTCATTTCCTACAACTTTGTTTTTTAACTTTTTTCTATGGGACTCGCAGTTTTACCGAAAATCGAGATAAACCATTTTTAGCCCTTAAAAATTGGACAATGTCTGCCCTCCCCTTCCTCTTCACTTTGATATCATTTTTGTAATACTCGTTCTTTGTCTGAAAAAAGCCTCGGTATCAGCGTTTACGTCTTCATCCTTGAAAGTGTATTTCCCGTGAACATTTTGTCGCAATCTGCAGGTGAGAAAAGTCGCTGTTGGCAAAGTCCAAAGAATGCGCTGGATGAACAAAGAATTCAACTTTATTTTATTTTATAGTCTTTAAGGTTTGTCATCTTACGTTTAAGAATTATCGAAATAGCGCCATAACTTTTTAAGCCCCCAGTTTGCCGTATATATATGTATGTACATATGTAGACCCCAGACTGATGTTGCCGAAAATATTGGTCAATCTTTGAGATCTCTTATTGAAAGTCGAAGAGAATAGTTTTCTGGTATTAATGTGCCTTTGTGTCAAAAATTATAAAATAATTCTTCTTACCCCCCCTATACCTATTGTAGATATTCGAATTTCGAATCAATGCCACTCTTAGTTTTATCTCATATAATGATTTTCGGACCTCTGGTTTACTTCATATCTTTTGAATCGCATCGCCTCGCTATTGCTTTATGATTTAGGAGAGGCACAATCGGCCTAAGGTCGCGGTACATTCCTAATCTATCAATCTAATCTAATCTAATCTTTGAATCGATTAATATGGAAGATATCTTAGCGAAATTAACTCAACATATGACATTGGTTTAATCCCGTAAATTTTTGAAATCGGTTCGCGAATAATGCCAGCCCTAGCCGTCATCATCGGGCCTTATTTCTTTCGAAGGGAAGCAGAAAATGCCGTTTCCATAAATAGATAGCGTCATAATATGATGTTGACCGAACTTGAGGAAATCGACGCGGACTTCGTCTCTTTTCCCAAAAAGACAGTGCGCCGCCTCATATTTCATGGACAGTTTTGGCGATTTAATGCCTCTAGATTATTTTTTCCGGGGGTATGCTAAATAACAGGCTTACACCAATAAGCCAGAAACTCTCGAGGAGCTTGAAAACAACATTAAGCGGTGAGATATCCAAAAATCGCCTAAAAGAAAATTATGTGTAGGGAAGTGGAGATTTCAGATCAATATCAAGAGTTATTGTTGTTGTAGCAGCAGCAAACATTCCTGAAGTAATTTGGAGGAATGCTGCCAGTCTGACAGTCCTTGGATGGATATAAAACCTGGGTTCGTTCCAGTTGCGTCAACCCGCTGGTCGAGTTCACGAGATGATCTCCATGTGAAAGCCCACCACCGGTGAACAGATCATCATTAGATTAGAGCGGAGTAAATTTAGCCATGTCCGTTTGTTTGCATATACATAAGTATGTAGCTGAATTAGTCTTTCAGTTTTTGAAATTTCGATCTGCACACGTCCTTTTCTCCCTAAGAAGATCAACTATTAGAACAGCCGATATGGGACCACTATAGCATGACATACAAACTGACACTCATCGATCCAAACGGGGTTAGATCGCCGGAAAAAATAGCCCCTGGTCGGATAAAATCCGAGTCAATTCCGGTACGTAGAGCCGGCTGTCGTGGGAAATGACCTTTGGTCCAACCCCATCGAAACAGCACGTTTCCTAGGCCTCCCGTTAGATGACGTCGACGACAACACTGATAACCCCCACCATCCTAATCGGACTGATAACCGTTAAAACAACAAGAACAACATACAAACTGACCGATTAAGCTATTGTATGAAATCGTTTGTATTTGTGAAGGGATTTATAGCATAATAATCATACAAACAGCATACATTCTATGTACATCCATACACAAAATGCACAGCAAAACTGAGGTCTTCTTTAAAATACTTCTTATGTAGTAATTATGAAACAAGAATAATACAAAACATTTTACTTTTGCATTTATGTATATATTTATTAAATCAAATTTGACAATATGCTTAGTATAAGTGCTTAAGAGTATATTGTTACAAACATACAATATAACCAGTAACATAAGGTAAATAAATCGCAAGAATATTTCAAATACATAGTGTTTTATATTTCCATCTAATTAAGTTCATCAAAGTATGCACCAGTCATCAAGTCTGCCTCGCGTATATTAAACACCTTCATCAATTCACCAGCTATTTTTTGTCCCTCCTCCACTGTTTGATCCGGTCGTAGGCATACTTCGAATTCCATAAAATTTCCCAAATGTTTCACTTTATCCATATGTATACGAGTTTGATCATGTAGAAATAAGTATCTCTCCTTTTCCAAAGTTCCTTTCACTCCATTACTTTGGGCCAAAATCTTCTCCAGCAATGCGGGATCATCTACATCTATTCTATTAAATGTCGACAGTTTTGGTCCGGTCTTATTGGGTCGTACATAGTATATAAGTTGTGAAGGAGTAGGTGGCTGTAGGTAGCGTAGTTTAAATCTACCACCTTTACTATCGTCTAAAATATTGAAGAACACATCCTTCTGCACCAGTAATTCGCCGGTTGATTTCGTCAGTTCGCGCGCTACTTGAACTCGCCGCTGAAATTCTTCATCACTGCCAACTCTAGCCTTTATCTCAACATTCCTTTCATCGCTAGGAATAACAGTTTCATCTTTTATAGACATTTTTGCTAATCAATTAGAAGCACACGATTTACCTACTGTGAAGGAATTTTGCAATAACAATCAATGGCGCTTGTTTGTTTTTAAAGTGCCATGCAACAAGGTTAGGCATTACGAGTGTTAACATGTCGAAATAATTCGAAGCTTTTTTAATAAAATTTCTAAAACTAATATTAAAAACAAAGTTAGTTAACTTAAATAAATTTTAAAAATTAATAACAATTATTATTTTTTTTTATTTAACAAAATTCACAATTTTATGTAATTCTGCCCGAACGAAATAAATATCATTTGTTCGCACAGTGAATAATGGCATCGTAATTTTCATTCGTTCGCGCGATTTGGAAACGAAGAGAGTACTGTCAAATGTAATAACAACAATCAGCTGTTTATGCTTAGTCGTGAGAATTGGTATATTCCAAATCAAAATTATTCAGTTCCAGCTAAATGAAAAATAAATATTAATAACATGTTGAATTAAGTAAGTAGATTTTAAATTCATTTGGATACAACAAATCTGACAAATTTTGGAAATTGTATATTCACATACAACTAAAGCATTACATAATTACATTCTATGTTTTACAGACATGCCTTTTTACAGTAACAGCATTAGACGTATTTTGGACAAGTGGCCTGGCAAGCAGCAATTAGGCATCTATAGATTTTTGCCATTATTCTTTGTTCTCGGTGCTGCTTTAGAATTTTCGATGATCAACTGGACAGTTGGCGAAACTAACTTTTGTAAGCTAGATAGAGCGCAATAACAGAATTTACAGTTTTTAAAATTTGCAGATCACACATTTAAAAAACGCCAAGCCAAGAATTTTGTTGAAGAAAAATTGCAAATAACACAAGGACAAGTTCAAACACCAACTAAAGAAGTAGCTTAAGTGTAAACGATCGTAGTTAAAAATTTGTAAAGATGCCTGCTGGTGTTTCTTGGGGACAATATATGAAATTTCTCTCAGCGGCGATGTTGTCTATGATGGCTGGCTCACAATTGGTTCATATGTACTACAAACCATTAGATGATTTAAATACATATATAGAACGGGAAATTGGCGCTACAAATGCACAAAAGTTAGATGTTAAGTCATCTCCACCAGAAAAATCAAATCAAACAGTAGATGGAAAAGTCTCTTAGTGAATGTTATGGTTATGAAGTGACAATAAAGTACATTTTGAGCATTTCTTTTAGCAAACCCCAACTTTTTTTTAAAATGTTGCTAAACAATTTTTAAATAGTATTTCTAATTAATTTCTACATACAAATACTTAAAATAATGAAAATATTYCATACATACATAACAAAACGTGGTATGCATTTACAGCAGTTATTTGATTAGTATTGCACTTGTTTAGCTGTATTGCATTACACTACCAACTACAATATAATTAGGTTAGTAGTGTTTGTATACTAATTACTCCCCTCCGCATCCGTTGACCACACTACTCATATTTGTTATACTCGTCTTTACTTACGAGCAATGTGGAGGAGCCTGTGGTATCAAAAATGAATTAATTAATTCCTGATTAACATTCATTGACTTTGATTCCGCAACGAATTTTTCATGTGATTTTCGATGGCTTTTTAAGGAGGTTTGTTGTCGATATGCTTGTCCACAGACATCACAAACATAGGGTTTCTCTCCTGTATGTATGTATTCATGATGGCGTAGCGTTTTCCGCGAAGCAAAACATTCGGAACAATACTGACATTCAAACGGTTTCAATTTCATATGCACCGCTTTTACATGGGCCTCCAATTCAAATTTCCGTATAAATTGTTTACCACAGTGTTCGCATGGCATTTTGTCATTAGAATGCACTAGCATATGTTGGACAAGCATAAATTTCTTTGCCATTCGTCGACCGCAAATGTTACATTCATATTTCGTCTCGTTGGTATGCAGCTGCAGGGTATGGTATTTCAGCGTGTAACGGGAATAAAAGAGTTTTTTGCAGACATCACATTCAAAACGCTCTTTCATTTGCTCTTTTTCAACTTGTTCTGCTTCCGTAGGATGTTTTGCACGCCGATGGTATTTAAGATTACCCGATTGATTAAAGGTCGCACCACATTTTTCACACACGTACTTGGTTAAACACGATGTATCAGAGTGTTTTAAACGTTTATGTTTTTGCATTGCTATAAAACTGGTATATATACGTTCACATCCTGGAATGTCACAAGCATACGATCTAACCTGAGCATCGTGTATTTCCTTGATGTGCGTATAAAGTCCACCAATAAATGTGTACGATTTTTCGCAACGATCACATTGAAATGGACGCTTATTTCCTTCATGTACTTTGCGTATATGAGCATCCAGTGTTATTTTGTGTGCAAAGCTGTGACTACATTGTACGCATTTGAAACTGTTCTTAGTTCCTTTATTACGACGTTTCGTCGATATATCTAGGCCTAGACCTAATTGAATGCGCCCACCAACTTTCCCCACTTTTCTACTTTTTGTTTTATTGTCAGTTGTTTTTTCAGTATTAGTATTTTCAATGGGTGGAGAACGTTTTTTACGCGAGCGGGTAGGATACTTTTTTATTTCCAAACTACAATCGCTGTGTTGGTTTTCCTGAGCTTTACCTTCCACTGCAGTCGATAATTTGATATTATTTTGTAAGTTTACTTTGTCATGATCTATAATTCGTACATATATTCCTTCGTTGGAGTCTTGCCCGTTTAAATCATGCCGTTCTTCACTAGTGCTTTCGCAATTATCATCGCTCAAATTTTCCTTTTTTGCAATATCAACCGGTGGACCATTATCAAATGGATCTGGATCAGGTAATTCTTTGCTAATTATTGCTTCATTACTCTCAGCATTTATCAAAACGGATTCCGTTTCCATAAGGGTATCTTTAAGCTACAAAGTTTGGTCATCATTAAAAAAATTATATAAATTAGAGCTATTACTTTCCTTACCAACAAATTAAAGATATCTGTTGTGGATTGTTCTACACCAGAATTGTTGTCAATTTCCTGATGTTTTTCAACAATTTCAGATTTAGCTGCTCCTAGGTTAAGTAACTCTTGCAACCTCAGTGTACTATTTCTCACTTGTTTTTTGAATGACACAACACCTTGTAATTTCTTATAGCAATATATGCACATAAATTGTGGATATTCTTGAGACATCGTTTTCCATTCTTCATTAGTCGACTGTCCTTCCATACATGAAGTGATAAATTGTTTTATAAACTCAATACCTACAATGCTAATACAAAAATCTTTACAGTCGGGTAGTAGTTCTTCCTCCTCTAAATTTATTGAACAATTAATATTCTTTCTTTTAAATTTTTTTAAGCACGTTCGACAATGCTCTTTTACATTTTCTATTGATAGTGCCGGCATTTTACAATTATTAACATTTTACACCATATTAAAGGAAATATTTTGTTTATTTACCAAAGCAGCACAAACCGTAATAGTGCTGCAAGGCTTTTAACGGATCAGCAGTACAATAAAAAGTAATCATGCCTAAATTGTCGTATGTTCCGCAAAAGTTTTTAACAAATATATGCATTTATTTAATTTACAATTATTAACAGAAATACATATTAAATATAAAATTCTTGCAAATGCAATTAAATTATTTTATAATTCTTCATTACGTCTCAACCGGGTTCTTGTTAAGAACTCATCAGTTTACAATAATTCAAATCATCTGGCATCCTTTTAAAATTAAAATAATTAAGGTGACCAAATAAAAAAAATAACTATTTTAATATTTTGTATTATTTCAAATCCGTATCCGTGTAGCTTGAGTCACATTCTGTTTTTGTTCCTTTTAAACTAAAAAATGTTTGCCAGGAAGAAAGGGATGGATCAGTGTGGTCACCGATAATCCTTTCAATTCTGTTAGCGTCACTAATCATACATTATAATACAAATGAAACGGAAGCTCTACCAACGTTTGTCTTATTATCCCTATTACCAAACAATATTAACGCCGAACACATACAGAAAATTAATTAGACAACAACAACGTAATTTTAGCAAGGAAATTTTTATTAAATCCAACGCATTATAATGTAACTAAAATGGTAGAAACTTAAAATTCCCTATATATACTTACTATGTAGCATAAAATTATTAAAATATTGATGCGCTTCATTACATCATTTTCTAGGATTAAAATACTTTTAGAGATTACAACATATATACTTATAAAATCAAGCATCTAGCTTTTTTTCAACCGTATCATCTTTAAAATGTTTCAGCCGGTGTTGTTTCATAGCCGTTGGTTGACGGAAGTCCTTTCCACAAACGTCACAAAGGTATGGTTTTTCTCCAGAATGTCTGTAATTGTGGAAGCGTAGAGACTTTTGCGTTTGAAATGATTTATCACAAAGTTTACAGGGAAACGGTTTCTCTTTCAGATGTGCCGAAAGTTCATGATTCAATAGATCTTGATACCACATAAAACTTTTATCGCACTGACCACAAGGTATTCTGCCATCTGTCGAATGTGTGCGTAAATGATCCACTAGCAAATTTTTTACCGGAAATCGTTTACCACAAATTCCACAAACACGAGACATATCTTCTTTAATATGAAAACACATATGTTTTTTTAGTGACAAATCTGTTGTGAATGCCTTTGGGCACACATTGCACTTAAACTGGGCGTCTGGATTTAGTACTGTTTGATGTTTTTGCTTCATATGTTCCTGTAGACTGCGAATATATCTGTAGGCTTTGTCGCAATGACTACACGTAAACGGCAACTTATTATCGTGCGCTTCCCGCATATGTGCTTGCAATTCTGAATTGAAAGCATACGTCTGTGTGCAGTGTGTACATTTATACTTTTCGTTGTTATCTAATGTAGGCTCTTCTTTCTTAATGTCGTCCTCCTTTCCAGCAACTGTTTTACTGTCACAATCGACAGCCGTTTGCAATGCAGGTGCAAAAGGATCTGCCATCTCATCATTTAGTTCTGTGTCTGCTAAGTTTGCTACCGATGTATCGAAAAAAACTTGCTCGTCTTCCATAAGCGCATCCCTAAACTATATATAATGTGTGAAATTACCAGTTAATTAAATAACACATTTCATAAACTTACTTGCAATTTGCAATCCTGAACCAAGTTTTCCACACGTTCTCTTTTTTCCATAAATTGATTTTCATCTTCGTCATAGTTGATTTCAACTTTTATCATGCCACTACTACAATTAAGAACAGTGCGTAATTTTTCGGCGTTCTGTTGAGCCCTTTTACGGAATAATGCAAAGTTGTTGAGCAAACTGTAGCAAGCGAGGCATATGTGTGCTGGCAATTCATTATCAACAACATTTGCCGTGTTACTTCTGCTGGGACCATCTATATACATATATATGAGTTGTTGCAGCTCAGGATCGCTATAAATGTTAAATTGCAGCTCCTTGCTATCCGGTATATCGTCTTGATCAACATTACCAGAAAAACAGTCTGTATTAGCACCGAGCCTTTTTAAACAAGTACGGCAGTGCTGATTTGCATTATTCTTTGTTAATAACGACATAACTTTTTAATTGAGACTTATTTAAACCTTAAAAATGGCTTACTATTAGTAATAAAACTACTGACAGCACGAAAAACAATACAAACTTGTCGCTACAACAACCTTGCCAGATGGGAAAAAACATTTAACACATACCAATAGTGTTGAGCAATTATTTTAATCAACAAATTAGTAATCGAGTTTTAAGCGATCGATAACTGAATTTGTGTTATATTTTCGGTATTTAAACTATTTATTTTTACAGAGAAAGGACTTTTAAACCATAGTAGTTACAACTGTCGTTTATGAAACCAAAAAAAAAAAAATGGTTCATTCCCTGAACAGGGTATATAAAGTTAGCCAATAAGTTTCTAACACCCAAATGGAAACGTCGGACATCCCATATATATATATATGTATGTAAAATACACATGCATATATGTATATAGGTACATATGTATAAATGTTCAATAGATAAACTGAGTTACTTGCTTGCCGATCCAAATCCATTCATGAGCTGGGAGAAGGAATACAGACTGGTCCTTAATATTTCCGTCGATGATGTCAAAATTCCGACATTTTAGGTTAAATTGGTCAGTCTGTACACAGCACACCCCCGCTATTACCAAAAGGTAAAGAGTAGCAGGAGTCTCGACTGGCTGGCGGCACTTGGTGTAAAAGATGTTGTTGTCATCATACAAAGTAATCGGCCGGCCGGCTTTCAATTACACCGCTCAGGCCGGAGTCAGATGCGAAATTTGGACTAAAACAGGATGTCTCCGATCGAACATCTGCACAGTGAGGCTCTCATCGATGAAGAAGAGCTCGATTTGCCGCGTGAAAGAAGTCCTAACACAACTTCGTTCTGGGTATTTTAGCAGGTTACTACTACTTATCCAGAATAGACTGCTGTCATACAAACTGACCGATCAAAATCGAGTTGCTCTATGGAGTCTCTTGTATTTCTGAAGAGTATGCAAGAAGTTTTTTTCTTGTTTCCATTATTATTGAAAATCATAACAATTTTCCAACAGTACTTTTGTTGAATTTTATTAGGCTTCTTTTGATTATTGTACTTATGTATGTACATATGTATGTCTAAGGGTAACTAAAAGCATATAAATGTATAGTTTAACTCCATTATATGGAAATTTTTAGTTAGGAAGTAATAACCTATTTTTTCACACACAATACAAAAACAATTGATTATTGTTTAATAGAAGAATTCATTATAAAACAAAACTTATTTTTTATTACAAATTAAATCTAAAAAAAAAATTAATACAAAATTTTGTAAAAGGAAACTTATCAGGTATAAATGCAATACAAAGTCAACGTCAACTGAAAGAAAGGTGAACCTAAACGTAAAAACCTGTAAAATAAAATTCGGTCAATTAAATGCAAGTAAAGTATGGACTAGCATTGGTTTTTGTTTTGGAATTTCGCATATTCTCGGTATAAAGATCAATAAACAACTTTAGTGGTAATTAATCGATGCTACACAAAGTTATATTTGACGAGACGTAAATGAAAGTTTTTGGCACACAATTCTTTTAAGATTAATTGAGCATATTTTTTTTAAATCTTATTGAACACATTCATGCGACCAAAGAAAATCGAACTTTTATTGACAGAGTTTCAAAGGAATTATTAAAATATTTCCACCCATTTTATTTTAGAAAAATAGTCGTTCGCCTTTTGTGTGGTTGTAATATTTGTGTGGTAATATATTTTAAATATTTCAAAAGAAATATTTGGTTAATTGCTAGATTGCAAAGGGTGTTCTGTTATTTTACTTTTAGGTTATACACCAAATACGCCATTATTAAAAATTTTTAGTTAGGAGGGTTTAAATAATAGAAAGAGAAATGTGTCGTGAGTAATATATGTTCGGTTTGTTCACTATTAATCATATTACTATGCGATGAGTTATGTTGGCGCAAAATAGAATGGTCGGCTGTAAACGTCGTAAACCAACATTTGGATATGCGTACGAGTTTATCCTTATATACATATATGTTTTGTCTGTATATAAAAAATGTATGATGATTTCGACCTGCAATGTTTAGTCGTAAACAAAATATCTAAAATAAAATATATTATCCGACCTTAACAATAAGACCCAATTAATGTAATTGAAAATGAATCGGCTACAGGATCGGGCGCAGAAATTGGTTTCCAATATAGCCAATTGTAGCTTACTGAAAATAAAGTAAATATCAGATAAACATTGAAGTAGTGCGGTCGTTTCTTTGTTTACGTATACTTACGCACGAAAGATTGCGGTAAGCGTATTGACAATGTGCGACAACGATGCCGACATTCACTTGTCGGGCGCAGGAAGATGTATCTAGTGCCGAGCGCTTGTTGTACAAATACATTTGCACACTGCGTATCAGGCAAAGTATAGGTCGGCGCTTGTGTTGTGTCGATGGTCATGTATCGCTCTAGCGCGATCCCGGTGCGCGGCAGATGTATTGCTGGACTGGTGAAAAGTTTGCGCAACAGACGTGCAGGTAGCATACGGTTGCAACGCCACAAATTATGCGCCTCAACCATTTGCGTAGACATTTCTTTGCTCTCCGTATGATTGTATTTATTGAAAAGCTCTTCTAGGTTTGTAACTTCGCGATTTGTCGATTGCACACGGTACGCATCGCGATGAAATGTTGCATGATTGCTTATGTAGAGATTGTAGAAATCCTGCAGTTGAATGGGATTTTGGTTTATCTATAATGAAGAAATCGACATATAATTTATTGAATATAGTATAGGTCAATCTGCTAATCGTTTCTACTTACTTTAAATACAAAAGGCACAATTTCATTTGGCATTTCTCGATTTGAATTATCGCGACTGCTGTTCTCTTCTTGATTATCGTTGTAAACATCAATACTTCGCTCCATTTCCGAAGTCAAATCGAGTACACTCTGTACTGTTGAACAAGGATCGCAGCTAAGGGCATCGACACCTTGGAAAAATGGATTTTGCATTAAACACGCCTCATCATATAGTTCTGTGAGTCGTGGAAAACGTTGAATTAATGGCAGTGTTATGCGACGCCACATGCGCATACTGGGATAGATAAAAGAATGAACATCATGTCCTGCAGACGTTAAACTATCCGACGATGTGTCATTACGATGTCGATAAGCAAAAACGCACAGCGAAACAAGCAAAAGATAAAATATCCAATATAATATTTGGCGCCGCCGATCCAAGATTTGGCTGAGCACTTCCAATTTGAGAAATGCTAGAGATGATAGGTTTGAGTAATTCCGTATATTCAAATCATCGTCATCATCCAATGTGCTGCGTTGTTGAAAGTATTGCCATAGTAGATAGTTATCAAAATAAAGCGGGCGTACACGGAATGACTTTTCAGCTATATTACGAAAATGGCGTAATGCAATCACATATTTTTGGAGGACTATATTACGTGTTAATATAGCAGGCTCCCCAATTGCCGCAGGAGCAGGCTGTGCAAAATTAAATTCATCCATACCTCAGCAACATATTAATTCGACACCATTGTTTCCACTTTTTATGCACTTTCCGACGCAATACAAAATTCCACAAACTACAATAAATTACGAATAGACCTCGCCTTGAAATCGTTCGATTTTATTTTTTCTATTTTGTTTTGACATCCGAAAACGCAACTTTTATACTCATTTGCTTTCTATTCACAATAAGTCAATAAGCCGTTCGCAATAAATTTTCTTTATTTGTTTTTGAATTAAAATTATCCTCTAACTTTAACTTTATATATAGACACCAGCATAAGCCATTATCTGATACGATAACTGCCTTGAACTTTATCTATCAATTATATTAATGACTATAAGCGAGTGTATAGCATAAATTATTTCAACATTAAGGACTGAATTAGCAGTTCTCACAAGCTGTGGTTAAACAATTGAATGAAAGATGTTATGCTATGTAAATTATCATTTACATATTTCATACTATTGTATTAAGACTTTTAATTAAAACAAGTTATTTTTAACGAATAAGTTTTTAGTTATTTTGTAACTTATAAAATTTTATTTATCGATAAGTCTAACGATTACTAAAATGAAGGTAATTTTTTGTTACTAGTCTGGCTTTATTGGTGTGGGAAACGTCAGGCAATGACCAATAAATGTCAAAAAGAACACTATTAGCAAAGACCTTCTGAGCGTACCGAGAAAAAGAAAACGTTGTGTATTATTTTACTTTTGTTTCTAATTAAATTAATGCGAAATAAGAATCTGGTGTATTTTATTTTTGTTAAAGTGATGAGCAAAAGTTTATCGGTGAGTTCAGTAAATATAAGGAATATATAAATTTCCATGTTGAAACATGAAAAGCGTATGGAAACTAGCGAGTGAGTGGAACGAGTGTGTCTGTCGATCCATACCGAGCGATTTCGTGAGGCATTGAAAAATTACACTATTCCGAAAAAAGTAAAATGGAATAAAAAATAATGCGCAAAATTATTGTATATAGAAACCGCGAGTAGTGTACAGTAAGAATGGCAAGATGTTAAATCAATGTGATGTATTAAAATTTCATAGTTATTAAAAGTGGTGGCTATGAGTATTTCAATATTTTAATAGTATTTTGAGTGATAAAGTGCAATATGAGTAAAGAAGGAAGAGAGGTAATAAATATGATGATTGAAGCGTATATAAAACAGTGGAAATAGAAGCGCACCAAAGAAGACGATATAGTGTAAAAATGTTATCGAAAAAGTTAATGTGGATGGCGTTAGGTATTGCAGCGCCCGCGCCGTCGCAGACGTCGTGTATGCTGCCTCATGTCATCATAAAGAGTAGTGCATTGCTGCGACATGGACTAGTTTATTATTCTTAATAACAAATAAGGGTAAATAACATAAGTAAAACAATTAAATGGAGATATTCTGCAACAGGAATTAAAAATTGGTAACGGTTAATTTGATATTTAAGTATACAGCAAAGTCAAGTGTGTTGTTTAATAGTGAAAATATAATGAATATTGTAGCGTGGAATATGCTGGTACTGCCGGTGTAGTGTTAAAGTGTATATAGTAAACGCGGTCGGCGTCGCGCCATACACAACGTTTACGTCGGCGTTGTCATGCGAATAGAAACAAAAGAAATCAATGGCTAAAGTTTACTCGCAGTGTGAGTAAGCGAGTCCGCTCTATTTTATTCCATGCCGGACACCGTGCGAGAGTTTGGCTATAAAAATTCTGATGTTGCCATCTTTTCTATTTACATGTAAATATTTTCAGTGATGGGTCAGTTGAAAATAGAAATTGGGAACCAAAAATAAAAAATAAAACACAAAAAATTTATAGATGAGCTACTTCTCATTCACAAAAATAATACTTCGTCGTTAAAAGTGTAAAAATATTATTTCAAATATATTAATGACAAGTTGATATGCATATGGCACATGTGATCTGTTTATAACTAAGTGGTAAATGACCTCGTATCTCGAGTAGTTGTCAAGGTTCAATCAACCATTTTGCAAAACAACCAAATATTCAGAAGTGTCAATGATATACATATGTACATACATTTTAATTTTTGTTGCTGATTTTATAGTAATCCATACTTTCTTCATATCCTTGTCAAGTTCCTTTACGAGTGTTCCTTACCAATGTAGTAGTAGAAAATACTCGCTATGCCCAAGAAATTTAACATTTATACTTTTTTAAATATTAAAGAATATTAACTTTACTTTAGCTTATTTTATTATTGTATTAATATATTTATTTATGTACATATTTTTAGGGCACGACCGCTTCCGAAACTACATAGGTTCATATTCAATATACTTCCCCTATTCCAAAATTGTGCATATAATATTTCTATACGTACATACATATGTACATACTACATAAGTCATAGTTTCCTCACTTTTCTATTTGCCATCTTATTTGCTCTAAACCGAGTTCCAATACTATCATTGCTGCCGCCTTTGAAGATATCGAGCTGCGAAAAGCATTGCATATGCAGGCATCTGGGCGGCATGTTGCAAGTGAAACGGTGCATTAGGTGCTTGCTATGTTACCACACGACTTTCTTTCGGTTCCTTCACAGTTGCGCTCTCGTTTTTGTAGTACTATATAGTTTTCACATTACTGAATGAATATAGAAGTGTAGTGGATGCTACAGTAAATTGTTCATTGTGGACTCTTCTGGTACATCACCAGACATTGTTGCATTGTAGAAATGTGTAGATACTAGGCGATGGGAAATATGCAAGCAATACGCAAAGTGAGCATGAGAATGTGCAAGTGAAAATATCAGATATGGTTAAAATGCACTTCATTTGTATTTTTCCAATGTTGGTTTTTTTTACTCTGTAGTTGTTCTATCAATATATTGCACGGCATCTGCTAATAATAACAGTGAATTGGTAAAAATCGAAAAGACATAAAGCAGTTTTAATAAGTAAAACTTCACTTGGGATAAGTTGCCTCGAAATATAGTTCTACACTATACCTTGAAAGAATAAAAAAAAAAAGAAGAAAATATGTGATAGAAAAGTGAAAGTATAGTACGTAAATATGTAAAAGAAAATATTTGACTTAAATGTAACAGGCATATTTTATGGCCCGCATCGAATACTACACAAATGACACGCCTCGATTGGCTATGCAGTTTTCGGTTGTGTGTTTTTTTTTTAGTATATTGGTTAAAGTGTTTATTACAGTGAAATATGGAAATTTACCGTTGAATCAAAGCAAATTTATAATTAAGTTAAAAAGTGTAAAATAAAACTCAACAATTATAAATTAAATGATTGTAAGTCGAATGTTTTTGCATACATATTTCACACTGGCAAAGCATATGTAGTGATAGCAACAATAACAACTTAAAATTACACTTCCTTAACATTTGCGGACACCGAGCGAAAGAAGTAGATGCAGTTATGGCCTCGATTTGGCGGTATCCGAATAGAACGAAGTACCGTGCTAAAGGTAGGTTCAAATACATTAAATAAAGATAAAAAGTAGTACAATTAGATGTATTTATTAGCTATTTATACCGCATGCTGAAATATATCTAAATAAACATATGTATGTATTTATTTTTTCCGTATCCGAGTTCATATACATATGTACGTTGTTAACTGTTACAAATTTTGTATGGCTCAAAGTATTTCCAATAGCCAATACGTACCAGCTGCTGTAGATTTCTTCTTTCTGGGTCGTCCTACGCTAGAATGCCCAAACCATTTGTTTTGCTGTAAATATTTTTTAGATTTAAACATGCTCATCGAGTATGAGACGATATCTTTCCTCTTGCTGATAACATGTATCTTGTTATCAATCCTTTAAGATTTTAAGCTGTGTGTGTGGGATTCTGCCTACATATTTAATTGGTTTTGATTGGAAGCATTAGATTTAGGCAAAACAGATTACATATACATACATATATTCAGTTTGCCAATTTTTATCACGCATCACTATACAGATCTAAAAAATTAATTTGCCAAATGCAGGATTTATATAMATACATACATATGTACATATTTAAAAAACTAAATTCGAAGCCTAAAAAGCTTACTGTTGGCATGAAATGTTGTTAATTGTAAATAAGAACTACCTTAATAAAACATACCTGCTCACACATGTTATCACATGAGTATATTACGGATCTCGATATTGTTTTGTTGGTGCATCGGTACTACATACATATATTGCATTGATGCACATTCACGTGCTCCATATGTAGTACCACCGACTAGTCAGTCTGCTTACAAATAATTGACTGCGCAATTGATGCGAATTTCTAAAACGCAAAAGAGCAAAGATATGAAGTCACTAACAATACTATGTAATGTAGATAATATCGTTAGACAGGTGGAAAATATGTATCACAAATGTACAAAAATACTTACATATGTACATACATATGTACTTATATATGTGCGTCAATAATGACGTTGTACATTCGCATTAATATTGCAAGAACAAAAAATATTTTGAGTGAAAACGGAAATTCCTATCGTTATGTAAAAACTGCCTTTGGGTTGCCTCTCTGAATTTTGGGATAATATTTGAAAGCAGTGATTATTACAAAAGTTGCCTCTATTTACCGTTCTTACTTGTCTCCTGAAAGCCATTATTATTAAAATTATTTAGACTGGATTGAATTTTTTACGAAAAAAGTTATTTCTCAATGGCTGCTAAAGCGAAGAGAGGTAGGTTATATTATTAGGTGTAAATACCGATTGGTAAAGAAAAATTGGTATGTTGAAATCTATATMATTTCGATGATGCCATGTAAGGCCACGAATTTCTAACTTTTATAAATACAAGGCCGATATTTTCATTATGCAACGCTTATAACAAACATTTTTTGTTACTTTTTTTTGTGAGCAGACCCGGACTTCCCAAACTAATTAAAATCAAATATGCAAGAGCTAACTTCGGTAATAACCGAACCTTCCACACTCTTGCAACTTGCAAGGATTGAAGTCAGGCAAGTACCATCACGTACATAAGGCTAATTAGTTATCTGGGGTCTAGGGCGAGTTTTTACCCGATTTTATTCATTTTAAGCACAAATATAAGAAAAACTCTCTCTCTCATTTTTATTAAGATAACTCCCATATTGGCCGATCTTCCGGTACCGAGAGTTTCGAAAAGCTGGATTGACCGATATTTACGGCAAAAAGTCAACTGAGCACTGGGTTCACAGATCTAATACATAGAGGCTTCAACATTTTTGATTCGATTTACGCAATATTTAGTCATAATGTTCCCACGATATACCTATGTATTATTTCATTCTTTATTTGTATACCCGAAAGCGAAAGTTTCAAATTGCATTTTCCAAATGAATTTAATAATTTGATGTTGTCAATTTTCAGTGGGTAATATAAAAATATCAGAGAAATACCAAATTTGATTGATATCGGTCGTGCCGGTCTTGAGATATTTGATTTCCCCAAAAAGTGGCAGAGCTACGCCAATCGTCCAATTTTGACGTCTACATTTAATCCCTCTCATACCATTTCGGAGGTAAAATTTAAGGTCTCTAAAGTATTTAGTTATTGATTTATCGCACTGTTAGTAATTTTTACATATGAAGATTGAGCAGGGTTATCATTCGATTTCATCCATTTTCACATATAATATTTGCATTTTCACATAGAATTTGGCCGTTATAGTTCTATCAAATATGTGTGTATATTAAATTTATTAGAGGGCGGGAACACGCCCACTTTTTAAAATTTTTTCGCCTATAGGCATCCTAAATATCGTTTTGTGGTCCATATGATGAGCTGCTGATTTTCAACTTTCATTATTTCCACTAAATATCTCAACATGTTCTGCAATGTGTGGTAAGAAAGTGGCAAAATCGATTTGAGCAAATGTTGCTCAAGTTATCTTACGTCGATACATTGAAGTCGCATTATTCTAAAAATAAATAAAGTGGCGAGCGTTTCTCACAAGAAAAAATACACAAAAATTGTTTTAGTCTTTTCGCAAATAGTATAACCTAATTATGCAGATAATTATGATCATCGTCTACGATTGACCTTAGCTGGTGAATAAACAACGTGCGAATTTTGGGTTTCATGCCGATTTTGTTGTGCAGATTCATTTTACTAATTAATGAGAAGTACATGAAGACTTAGCATTCAATTTTTATGTTGTGATAAATAAATAATGTCAAGAAGAAGATAATTTGTGTGTGAATGTCTGCTGAACGTATGTACGTAAATAGTCTGAATCTGTAATGCTTTTAGAAATTTTTGAATATCCTTAACTATATTTCTTCTCAAGTCAAGGAAAGTTATTGCTAGGTAAAATAAATATTGCCAATTAAGTGTTCGCTTGTGGAGGATTAATGTTGAAATCTTCTTTATAATTTTTTTTTTTAAATAAATATTTTTTTGTTTCATATCTTTGATGAAAATTGTGTAAAAATTTCAGTTCGATTGGAATAAAATTGACGAGATGTCTTTAGTGCTCTTCAGGCCTTAATACTAGGCCTGGAGTAGAGTACAAATTACGTGACCCAGGCTGTCAATTTACTACTGTGACAACAGCCTCTACAGCTCTGCATTCTGCCTTTAGTTGGGACACAACGTCGCCATTCTAGTCGAGTTGCCATCTAACGACTCAAACAGGCAACACACTCCCAATATGATCAGTCCTCCTAACCTTCATTCCGCTCCAATCCTCATGTTAGAAGCACTCAGCAACTTCTGGTTCCTCGCACAGCCTGTTCTGGGTGTCAAACCGCCATACGTTGGAAAGTCCCACCAGTTAAGTCTTGTACTGACTGTGTGTCGGAAGTCGTACTTTGCCGCCTTCTGCAGGAGTCTGCCCCACAACACCCCACAGTGGAGTCACTACTCATAGACACCCGCAACAAACCCCGAATACTACAATTCAATTGCAACGGACTAAAGAGTAAGATCGAGAAGACAGTTGCATTCATAAGCCGGGAACGTAAACCCATAACTGCCATTCAAGAAAGATCCAAGTTAAACAGCCGCTTAGATCTTCTGATTTGTGCAGGTTTCACCGTTATACGTATAGTTCGAGAGAGAGAAATAATGGTTGAGGTCTAGCCTTCATACTGCATAACACTGCTGTCGTCTCGTTGAAGGCGACTTTGACCGCAGGGATACTACCCTTGAATATCAGGATATAGCTATCTGGCGAGGCCGAGGTGCCGAACTCGAACTCGAAATATTTACTATACTATACATACATGGCCTTGTTACATTTTGTCTGATAATGGGTGAGCTACTTCATGGTGAAAATTCTATTACAGCGTGCTATACGATGGTTGGGGGATGAAACTGCCGGATCAGATAGACTATTTGACATTCTGCATGACAAATGACAAAGGCCAAAACATAATTATGGGCACTTGTAATAGCTCGCCTGACATTACCACATTACTAGTGGTGATCTGATAAATAGCAGAGCCTTACAACCAATGCTAACCATCGCATCGGACCATCTGCCCATAATTATCTCACCCGTGAAACATCCGGACTTTTTGTGAACAACCTGCGGACGTTTTTGCCTTGCTACACACTCAGCGATCATATTCTCGAAGTGGACAGAGTAATACAGACTAAACATTAAAGTCGGGCACGTTAAAATTCCGACTGTTAATAGTCCTAGAATTTTAGGTGCAAGATTTGACAGCCTATACTCCTTCACTCTTCTTACAACCGCGATAAAGCCGCAAAGTCGATAAGCGGCAGCTCATGGGGAGAAGACAAATAAATGTTATTGGCAATACATAAGGTAATCGGTCGGCCGGTCCTAAATATACGCCAAACCGATATGGTTACCTGGACACTGTGAAACGCAAACGAAGAAGCTTCAGACGTGTCTGAACATAATAGGATAAGAGAATTTTCCTTGACTACGTCGACGACATCGGACAGTACACCGATCAGACTTCGGGAGCAACTCACTTCAGACACGCACCGACCGCCATCCACAGAGCCTGCAATACCTTTAACGACCCCCTCTCCGAGATTGGCGTACTTGAAGTCAAATGACCACCTATTGCAGACGACAAACTTGAGTTGCCGCGAAAATCTAGAGTGGTCCTTTTGCATCTCTTTGCCCCATCGAAACAGCACGTTTTCTCGAACTGTCGTCAGATGACTTTGATGACAACCTACCTGGACTTTACCACCCAATCCCCTTACCAAGCGGTAGTTAGAAATCCACAAAATAATGGATTATATTAAAGTTGTTGTAATATAGAAAACATTCTGAAGATATCAACTGAACGTGTACATCAAATCATTCACGAATAATTTTGTATGAGAAAGCTTTGAGCAAAGTGAGTGCCGCGCGAGTGATTTGATCATTCGGAGCAGTGTTTGGAGATGTTAGATCGTAACAAACGCAATTTTTAGCGCCGATTATTGACAATGGATGAAATATGGCTTCCTTATTTCACTCCGAAATCCAATCCTTTTTTGAGTTTT